CACCAATTGCCGTAAAGCGCAACGTAGAACCATCACCGTCGGAGTCAATCACCGCTAAACAAACAAACCCTTAGCAGGCGATGCTTTGCCCTGGAGAAATTTGCGTATATCGACCGCGACCCAACACTCGAACATTTGTTTTGAATTTTCGCCAGACGCTGACCCCGACGCTATTCAATCTACACATTTAAGCATTCTACGATAGGGAACTACTATGAAACGTACAATTTCATACGACGATTGATCTTTCCTCAATTAATGGCACGCTCCCGCGTGTTCAAATTATGTACACGTGATAATTGGCGGATAATTCCATTCTGTTTAGCAGAATTTCACCTTTTTTAATTATAATATTTATATCGGGCCTTATTGAATTTCCCCGACAAAAAATATCGCCGCAAAGTGTCTCGTCCTTTCAAACTAACAAGAAAAATTAAGTATTTACCAATTACGTTTGTTTACTAAAATTCCCTGAGATTGTAATTGATAATCTTTATTGGGATTGTTTACCTCGGCTCGATTCAAAATTGAGCAAATCGGAAATGATAATAAAGTGAATAATATTTGTATTATGGTTAGTAATGAATCAAGAATTTAGGCATTATGGCTGTAGAATACGTTCTAAAATTTTTAATAGCTTCGCTGGATAAGTCGGAGATAAGCGAAAGGATCGTAGATATAAGCTCGTAAACGAAATTTTTGGGTAAATGACTGGAAATGTTTTTACTTTGTCGTCGAGAGTGGGCATACTCGTTAAAACTCCTATTTTCTTCGCTGCAATAACTTTAATCATATATATTCTCTGTACTCGTGATACGAAGGGTCGCTTGTTAAAACATTTGCTTAAAAAGTATGACCGAACATACCATGAAGGCCCATTTGGGCGAATTATATCATGTAATCCACGATAAATACCACAAAGGCGTTTACTCACCAATGCGTAAAGCGATTGCTTTTTTTGATGCTAAATAAAGGAAACCGTAAAAATAAGAAAAATCTGCTCGGAATAAGAAGTCGTGAGTCATCCGGGTGGATCAATTGTTTTTCGGGCATACGAAGACTTTGCCCTTGTGTTCTGGAAAGCCGAGGAACAAAAGACATTGCTCTCTATATCTTGGCTCAATCACCGACTGGCGATAATAGCTATCTATCCTTCAATCGGCATAAAACACTTCGTGCCAACGCTGGGGACAAGAGAAAAACATATGATAATCGGTAATTATCTGAATGCCTGTAGTTATAGGACGAAAATAACGTTCTGACCTTTACGATGTGTACTGCGTGATTCGCTCATAAACGTTTTGTTTTTTTTTTCTTTTTTTTTCTTTTTTTTTCTTTTTGTCGAGTGAATTTTGTTTGGTTTTTTTTTTTTTTTTTTTTTTCTTTTTTTTTCTTTTTTTTTCTTTTTGTTTGTTTTATTTTGTTTGGTTTTTTTTTTTTGTTTTGTTTTCTTTTGTTTTGGTTTTGTTTGGTTTTGTTTTGTTTAATCTACTTATTGCGATAAAAATTCAGTTCCCTTTACAAGTCAGAAACAGAGCGTAATACTGTCGATCAACAAAGTATTGTAGAAATCGGCATTACGGTTATTTTAAATGAAACCTAAAACAACTGGAGTGAGTTTAACCGGCTTAAAAGCATACCGAGTGCTACGAACGTGATTACTACGTGAAAATATAATGTCAAGGTCAAGCATTGAAGAAGACACGAAAAGGTGGGAAAGTGCATTCGGAGTGGGCGGGGCGGGAGCGGGAGCGGAGACAGTTTAAGAGTCGGTTAGGTAAACAGTGGTAAAATAGCGGAAAATTCGGGAAGTCAAATATGAGCGATAAGGCCGCTCGCCGCCCGGTTTATCCGCTACTAAAAGCCATCGGCCAAACTAGCAAACACGACGAGTGTATCAGCGCCAATATTTATTTCGCGCACGAAGCAAAATAATCCGTGAACGATGCCCGGGACGCAACGAAAAAAGGTTCGAGCAGATCGGCGATCGACACGCACAGCTTACATCAAAGGTCGCGGCAGAAAAACAAATAAGCCGTCGAAGCTAGAAAAATCATCGATTAAAGGCGCCTTGGTGTTTTTTTGGTATTGCGTACAGCGCGGACGGGCGTGTCTCTTTGGTTGGGAACAACGGGTTTTTTTGGGGGGGGAAGCGGGGGGGGGGGGGGGGGGGGGGGGGGGGCGTGAGAGTAGCAACAGACGAGAAAGAAGGTGGGATAATGAGAATCGCTGGCTGTCCTTCCAGATTAACCGATCGATCGCTCCACGTAACCCTCCTCGAGGCACCAGGCCTACTCGCTTCTCTCTGTGCGCGCGCGCGCGCATGTGTGTCTCTCTCTCTCTCTCTCTCTCTCTCTCTCTCTCTGTGTGTGTGTGTATGTGTTTGTGTGTGTATATGTGTGTGCGCGTGCGTGCGTGCGCGCGCGTGTCTCGTGCCACGCGTCTCTCCTCCATTCCGGATGAGCGCTTCCCGTCCCCCAGTGCGCTTTCCCGTTCTCGCGATTGGCTTTGTTTGCCAGAGCCAATACGTTTTTGCGAGATGGCTCCTCGCTCCCGATCACCGTCTGTATCCATCACCAAACCCCTCTGAACATCTCCCCGCGAGTCTTTAAACGCCCCCCCCCGCCTCCTCCAACGGCGCCGCCGCCACCACCCCACGAACGGTCAACATCCCCCGCTGTTTTTACGCGCATCCACCCCCCCTCCTCGCAGATTCACATGCGCTAATTTTTTAACGCTTAGTCGCCGGCGCTCGAACTATGGACGAAAGAACTTTGCTATTTATAGCCCACCTCGCGCCTCATATTGAATGCTAACAACGACAGCCCTGATACGTCCAAAAATCATCTACAATGTGTACACTCATCTACAATGTATGCAACATAATTCGAACATTCCAAAGAACGTTAAAGATATTAACTAATCCACGTTGGAATTAAATCGAAAATACCAGGCCTACCTACTACCGACAAACTAACTATACACTTAACTCCTCGTATATACGAATAGAAAAATACATTCCTAACTGACCAATTGGCACGCACAATTTTATAATGCTCGATTTAATTATTGGAAAGACCAATTCGCACAGCATTCGCTCACGCAAAAAACGAACGATCTATAGTGGCATAGTCGCTTGCCCCTGAGACTCGGTAACGAGCAGCGTCGTATATAAAAGAAGAAACAAAAAAAGGAGAGAGAAAAACGGCAAAATATTAGCTACTAAAACTTCGAGACGCAGTCAAGTGACGTAGACAATAAAAAAAAAAAAAAAAAATAGGAAAAAAAACATGGAAACAATAGAGCGCGCAAAGGTTGACGCGTGGAGGATCGGTAGTAGCGGATAGTCGAAAAAAAAAACAAAAATAACAAATAGTCACCTCGTTAGAGCGTTAAAAAATCGGGAGGGAATGTGGCGATGAGTTGCGCACGTGGTGACTCTCGCCGCAGCCTGGACTCGAGTACGACTGCGCGGCCTGCCTTGCTTTTCGGCTTTCCCGGCGATTTTCCTGGCCGCTCCGCTGGCTCCAAAACGACTGTTTTCGCGCGCGCGCTCAACGAAGGATAATTCGAGCAAAACAACGGAAGAACGCGGTGAAGGAGAGACGCGAGAGCGACAGCGAGAGAAGACTGTTGGTGGGGCGTGAGCCGCAATATTGCCATGTGCGCGCGCCGTCGTAAAATCGCGCGACACGCGTACCGATCGGCCTTGAATGCTGTAAAACATGGGCCAAGGGATTCACCTTCGGTCCAAGGGATCGGATGCGGGAGTTGCAAGTCGATCGCCGATGCTGCCTCCGTCGTCGCCAATCAACCTAATGTGTCTCCACGGCAAACATGGCCACCGGCATTTAAATATCCTGCATTTGTGCTACTCCACACCACTCCGCTCCACGCCTTTACCTACCTCACCACTCTTTTCCGCAACAATCTTCACGACTCCTGTATTCCCCCCCACCCCCTTCAACCCCTCGCCAAGCCAGTCGATCGCGACAATTCACCCTATCTCTGTCTCTCTCTCTCTCTCTCTCTCTCTCTCTCTCTATCTATCTATCTATCTATCTATCTCTCTCTCTGTTACTCTAGCTCTGTTTCGCACGTATAATCGGCAACTCAACGTCCGTTGGGTCGTCTTTTTAATTGGCTTGTAATTTAATAGATCATCGATGCTCGTCGCCGAGGCGTTTGCGAAAAATTTTGGATTCGCGCGCGGTTTCCCACAGGCCCATATTTTCCTCGAACGACGTTAACATCGGATAACACGAGGCACTGCTTAAAATCACTCGCCTTAACAATTCCGGGAAATTAACTTTTGCGGGTTTAGACCAGTTTGTATTTAACATCGTGTTCTACAATGTAAATAAAAGTTGTATTATTTCCATTGTAATCCGCTTAATGAGTTTTAAGAAGAAAACTTTGTATGAAAACGCTATTCCAAGAAAAAAAAATAAATTGTATACCTTAAGTTTGGTTATTGGGTTGGGACAGGTAAACTTTAATGACAATCAAAGGTGTCTGAAAATTCTTAAAAACTGTGCGAGCAATTTAGGTGGAGTTAGGAACAAGAGGAGAGCGAAGCAAACGCATACTGATCGCCCGAATCTACGGGATCGGTCGTCCTATTGCAAAAGCGCAGTGTCTTGGAACGAAAACAAAAGGTCCTGCTAATAGTAACAATAATAATAATGATGATGATAAGAGGAAAAAAGACTTTGCGTACCTTGTGCGCGCGTTGAGAAGCTCGATCAAAGAGTGATAGTAAGGTGGTACCGGCGAAGCACTAATCCAATATCCTCCGTGCGTACGGTCACATTTAGTCAAGCGAGCACTTTAATCCCCGAAGAACACAAGTACGCAACCTGCCCCGGCGCCAAATCACAACAACACACAACGTCAACTCTATAATAAACGGGGTAAGGGAAGAAGGCCGTTGGCATCGCCAGAGCGACTGCAGATCCTTAGCTGCTCTCGGGACGAGTGCCGGAGTTCGACTGACCGACCCCCGAGCGCACGCACATAGACCGGCACCATTTGCGAGAGGGCAGCTACCCTAACTCGCCTCTAAATGTTTCTCGTCTCCCCCCCCCCCTGCCCA